AACCCCGTCAACAAGAAGGCGCTGTACGAGGCAAGGACCAATAAACGTCGCAACATGTCGCAGTGGTGGGAAGTAGTTCAGAGGGAAACTAAGAAAGGAAGTCAGTAAAGAGATTTTAGGCCCTCAATGGACAAACTACTTCATGGATATCATGGAAGGTCCTGTCATTGGCACTGGACCCAGCCAAGAATCAATCCAGAACACGGAAGAGAACCAGGAAAGGTTGAAAGACGGTCAGGAAGCACAACACGATGAAGAGAGGAACGACAGCGGAGGTAGAGAGACGGACACAGATGTCATGGAGGCAGACACTGAGATGAAAGAATTAAAGGCAGCGCTGAAAAGAATGAGAAATAAAAAGGCACCAGGAGAAGACCGTCTAGTTGCAGGATTTTATAAAGAGATGTCCGAGGAGGGCAAGCTGAAACTGTTGGAGGCACTAAACGAGATTTGGAAAAGGAAATTTACCGAAAGGCTGGGAATCAGCGCATATCGCACCTATTTTCAAGTAAAAAAATCAACTATTTCAAGGAAATTATAGACTGATTTCACTCCTCAATGCAGATTATGAAATACTAACCAATATAATTACGACGAGGCTTGAGAAATGGTATGAGGAGAATAAAATGCTAAAGGTGCCAGGGACCAGGTCTTTGTGATCAATGCAGTCATAAACCATTGGGTAAAGGAAAAGGAACAAAAAGCCTTCACCTGTTTCGTGGACTTTGAGACTGCGTTTGATAGTATCAACAGAAAGTTACTATTCGCGAAGGCAGAGGAAGCAGGAATTAAAGGCAGAATATCGAAATTCATCAAGGCAGGATACAAAAAGACCGAGAACAAAATCGTGGCCAATGAAGAGACGAAAGGGAGGTTTGAAGCGTCCCAGGGGGTAAGGCAGGGTTGTTCACTAAGCCTACTACTTTTCAGCTTCTTTCTGGACGACATGAACAAGAAGTTTAGTAAGAGAAACAAAGGAGGAATAGCTATGGGCATAATCAAAGTGAATCTGAGTAAATATGTAGACGACATCGCAGCAATCGCTCCGACGAAGCAAGTCTTCAGTTGATGTTAAAGTTTTTAGAAAAATATGCAGCCAAAAACTCCCTCAAGGTAAACACACAAAAAAAAAAAAAAAACAAAAGTGCTAGTGATCGGCGGGAAAGGAAGGAGTACCACTACAAATTGTAAATACGGAGATGAACTATTAGAAGTGGTGAAAGACTTTAAATATCTAGACTGATGGCTATCCAGCAGTAACAGCTGGAAGAAGCACACAAACGAGATGGCAGCTAAGGCCAAGAAAGCTCTAAACGCCACGTGGGGGCTCATTGAGAGAACAGGCAGAAACGCACTCAAAGACAGAATGTACCTCTACAACTTCCTTGTAAGATCCGGTGCACTTTACGGGGTAGAAAAATGGGGATGGGAAGGCAGCAAGGTAAATAGAAGCAGTGTTTCAACAGATACTGTAAGACAGCGATGGGACTAGTGAAAAACACTCCTGAGTACATCTGGAGGTACGAGGGTGGGCTAAAAAATTTAAAATACATCTTCAGAGAGAGAGAGCAGGCAGATACCTACTAGACGTGCTGAGAATGGAGAAAATAGATGGCCGAAAGTCATGCTTAGAGAAGAATGCAGCGGAATCCTGAATGGCAAGTCATTCGAATGGGGTAGTAGGATGGCCAGAGCTGTGGAAGAGATGGGCTGTAAGGTCATAACAAGGATGGTATGGAAAAGAGAGGAAGTGAGTATCATAGAGCAGAGAATGCAGGAGGGCCTATGTTATATTCAGGCTACACTGAGAAAGGACGAGAACAATAAAATCATGGATTCATAATACAACCCCAAGTTCAAATTCCTCAAAACTAGTATGGGCGCTGAATACTGTATTGGTTAGACAGAAAAACCCCAAGTTAGATAAAGCTAGCTTGGTGCGGAGTCAGATGTGGCAACATAGGAAAGGCAGGAAAGAAGGGCTACAGGGACTGGTAATGTCGTATATGTCAAGGTGAAGATGAAACTCTAGAGCACATTTTCAGATGCAGAACGTTACTGAACAGTGTCAAGACAGAGGTGAGGTACTTTGTCTTGGAATGGATCGGTAGGAAAACAGGAGCCGATTTCGATTGGTTGTTATTGCAGACACTCAGAGGTGATTCAATAAAATAAATTTGCAAACTCATTGGCAAATTCCTAAAACTCGTGAAAGAAGATAGTGATCCTTCGCATGAAGATCAAGATGCAGCAGCCTTGACCCGAACCCCCAGACTTGGACGAAGTTGAATAGTTGGCAGCAAAAGATAAATACATCTAGTGCAGTAAATTTTATTCTTAAATGCCTCAAAGAGGCTATTTTAAATTCTCTATATTTGTTACTTGGTGCTACAAACGTTAAATCTCATAAATTTTGAATCAAATTTAAAATCTAGAATAAAATAGTATTAACATGAAGTATTTAAGTATCAGTTGGTGCGAGAACTAAAGCATTATTTAATAAGATGCAGTTTAAGGTATTACCCTCGCAACTTCCGTCGTCAAAAGTTTATGCTAGAGTGTACGGTACACATACTGGATAGTCATTATTGACAAGCCTAAAACTTTTTGCTGTTTATTTACTTATTTCAGCCAATCACGAACAAGAAACTGATCGTTTGAAAAGTCTGGCAACACTGCGTGAGCGTTGAGATATTTTATAGTGGTTATACTGTAGTGTTTTGGACTAACTGTAGATTAACCTCTGTTTTGATACATGCGTTTATTTATTTATTTACATACATTTATTCAGAAATATAATTACAATGTCTGAAAAATTGACTTATAAAGGACGATTCATAAAATAAGTCCTTGAAAAACGACAGAAATCTCTAGCAAATATGAAAATAACTATGCAAATAAAAAATAGAAAAAAAATAATTGACAATATTGTTTTATTTTTTCAGAAAAATCAGTAACTAATTTTTTTATGTTGATGCATTAACTGATTTTAAATTTTAGTATTTTTATTATTTTTTCATCTGACTTATTTTTATAATTTATGAAAGATTAATAAATATTATTATATTAAAATTGTTAACTTTTTGAATTTTTATAAATATAGAAAAATACTTATTTTCATAAAGTAATCATTGTTATTTTTTTTAAATAAATAAAATTAATAACTATAATATTACACCTAACGTAAATTAAACTATTCAAATTTGTCAGCGCATGCGCGTCTCATACTTCTTTCGCGACTCACAAAACTTGCACTGTTGCCACAACTTTATTAACGTATCCCCTCCACGGCTAAAGTCTGGTAAATTTTTCATTACTTATTAATAAATATCTCTGAAACTGTGTGGTAATTATCAATGAATTTTTTTTTAAATTGTTTAGTTGTTAGTTAACGTTACTCTAGTTTTTTAAAAAGATCCTAAGAAAAGTTTCTGAGATATAAAAATGTTTGTAGGTAAACTTTTCGATATCCCGTAATGTATAAGAGCGTTCAAAACTCAAACTTTCATATTAAATATCTCGGAAACTAGATGGTCTAAAATTCTCAAATTGCGCCAATCGATGCAGAATTATATAAATATTAATCTGCCAAAGTTTAAAAAAAATCCTAAGAAAACGACTCTGGCGAGGGTAATACCTTAACTTAAATTAATGTGATGAAAAAATTGTAAAAAGTAGTTCTTACTGCGGTACGATGTCTAAATAAATCTATCTACATCAGTTTAATGGTAATAAGCAATAACGTCTTAACCAAATTTTTTTTCGAAACTTGGTCAAGAGCATATTCGATTTTAAACATGTTTGTTTTATAAAAGTAAACTGTCGAAAAAATTTTTCAAAGATTTTGTTTAAGACAATATTACTTATTTTCTAAATAAGATTATAAAATTTTGTATATTTGGTGTTTGTTATCTATAAATTATTAAAAGTTTACCTATAAATCTCTTGAGCCCCGATAACACCAGGCGTACCTCCACCAAATTGATTGACAGAACCATCTGGTGTTTGTGGAGATGCCAATAGACCCTTCGTATCATATATGAAATTCTATTAACATAAAATGATTCATCATTAATATTAATTCAATTATTGATAATAGGAAACATAAAATGTCTAACAATATAAAACATCAATGGATAAAACATGAAAATATATTAATAAATACATTTGTAATGACAATGACAATTTACACAAAAAATTTTTTCATCATGCACAATCAATTTATTTGTATGAGTACCTTACTTCACTATCTGTTGAAGGTATGCATTTCGAAAAATTTTTTTATTAGTTAAATCACCAAATCTAAAGACCTCGAATAAACTGTATTTAGTACAGTTATTCAAATAATTATTTAAATTAGCATAGTGAATCTGCTTTTCAAAAATACTTTATGCATATTTTCAAAATATACAGGTATCATTAAGATACTAAATAATGCAATTCGACGGTACTTTGGTAAAACCTCGTATCTTCTATGTATTTTAAATGAGAGATACGAGGTTTTACCAAAGTACCGTCGAATTTTTAGATCTTTATTGCAATATATTTTTTCATTTTGCTTGCATTAGAATTTTAATTTTTAATATCTATACATGTATAGCCAACCAAAACAAGGCGATTTCAGATTGATATAAATGTTCGCAAGCAGAAATTTGTATATTTTTATCCACTGTATTAGCTTCTGATTTTAGTTCACGTTTGAATTGCATTTTTTATTTTAAGCTATATTGTAATTGACAATTTAAAGAGCGTTATTGGTTTTTAATTTAATTGTATGTTCATTTTATTTTGATTGACTTTGAAAAAAAAATTTTCAAACAAATAATTAAAAACTATAATACGTAACCCAAGATAAAAGCAGAATTAGACTGTTAGTTATTCTAAAACTTTCTTCTATCGGGTTATCCCGAAAGATCAACACATCTTTGTATGAAAATGTTTTGTTTCACCCCTTGTCACATAATTTTATATTAAGTATAATTCTGGAAAATATTCACATCTTATAAAGTACCATCTCTCAGATATCTTATTTTCAACAAACTAATTGGATACTTCAATACTAAAAAACTCAAAATAGTTATACAAGCTTGTTTCGTTTTGGCGAGGGAGGAGATTTAGAGATAATTATTCATATCTTCTTACTAATAAAAAGCTAAAAATCAATTTTACGCTCACCCACACGTGTTAGTATATATATATATATATATATATATATATATATATATATATATATATATATATA